CTGTGGGTTCTGGCGACCATGTGACCCGTTCTTCTAAGGCGCTCTATAAAGGAGCGGTGACAGATTGAGGACACCAAGCTCTTTCCAAGATCCATGTTTGTGGATGCCTTCTAATCTCTACGTCAGTTCATCTTTGGTAGACTATTTTCTCACTATCATCCCCTTTTATCCGATTAAATACGTAATAGCCAAGATTGTTCTATTCTTTAAGTATTGGTGATTTAATTCAATTATACAATCTTCATTTAAATGGTCTACATGCTCTTTCTAATTTTATTTTTTTACATTTCTAACTCTGTGTTATTGTAACTTGACTTGAACATTGTTTATGAACAGCATCAGCGTCATGAAAAATCCTGTGGAACATTGAGTTTAATTCCTGAAGGAGTTTGACAAGTTAGATTTATTCCTGTCCTTCCTGTTCTCTCCCTTTAGGTCTCTGGTGTTCCTTTGTGTCAGGAATGTTGTAAACAGCAGCTTCACTGCTGGCTCGGTATCGTAACTTTAATTACCGTCTGCTACATTTCAAAACATAAAGCCTGGAAGTTATTTATTTTGAGCAAGTTGAAGTGATAGAACGGACTGGACTAAATTGATTTAGTCCAGATTTTAGCTTATTTGGTTTGTTTGTTCTGAAAGATCACCAATAATTATAGATGCTTTCAGTAAATTTTTAAATTTGATAAATCTGATACAAACATAATTAAAGCTGCGCAGATACTATTTAATTAATGCTTATTTTCACATATTCTAGTAATGAATGCCTCATGACAAAGAATATAGATATAAAAATATATAAAATATAGAATATAGAAACCATCAAAAATGTGAATTTATTTGCTCCGCACCATCTGCCTCCTCCACAGGACTGACTTACAACCGGCTGCCTACATTTCCTTATAAATTACACTTAAATTTTCAGCGTTAAATCGATATCTCTATATTGTATACTGTTACTATTTACATTAAAATAAAATGTTTGGAGCTTTTATTTGGATCATTGACCCCTTCTTTAATTTGACTGCAAAGTGTATTTTATAATTGTTTCATAATTTTTTTCTTGTTGCGTTATCTTCCAGACATACAACATAATAATAATCATAAATCTAAATGTATTGCAGTTGATAGCCATTTTGAACCCCTTGTCCCAAAACACATCATCGCAGACCCATTCTAGAGAGGTTTAGATTACCACTAGCATACCACCTTTTTTGAGATATTTCATTAATAACTTTATTGATATGAGATATTTTGAAAACTGAATTCACACTTAAAATATCAGGAAAGTCATCCAGAATCAGTGGCATTTTAAATTGAGACCATAGTAACAAGTTACCCTAATAAATCAGTAACTCGGTTACTAACCTAATGTGTTACTATTAATAGTTATATTTTTTAAGCAATTTGCCCAACACTGCTCAGGGTTCAATATGACTCCTAATTTGATGCTACCACTTCTGTCCTCTGCTGCTGCTCTATTTAACAGGTCCTTAGAAATCAAACCTTTTAAAGATTCTTTATCTCGTTTTTTATTTTTTTGAAAATTCAACCCTAAGCACTATTAGTTGTTTTCTGCTATTCTTCCAACCCACCTGCCTTCACCACGACGCAACCACTCCCTGTCATTTACACAATACAAATATTTAGTTTATTTAAGTAGATATTTTGCAATTTTTACTTAATTCTAGATTTATTTTTTAGACAACTTTTTACTTTTATTCCTTACATTTTTTTATTTTTTTGCTATTATCTGTACTTTCTATTCCTTAAATTTTAAAGATAGACTTGTTAGTTTTGTTTTATTTAAGCTCATTTTCATTAAGGCCTGTCGGTATATAAAAAATAAAAAAAATCAAAATAATTTGTTAAATCCAGACAATTTTTTTATTTGTGGTTGGACTCGGTACTGCACCAACTTATTCGCCTTTTTCAAGACGATGTAAAGTTAAAATTGTCACTGTTACCATTAGTTATAAAACTAAGAAAATTAAGTAAAATGAAGTTATCATCCAGAATTATAGAAAAAAATTTCTTTGCATTACTTCTACTTTTATACACTTTCAGACTTTTACTTAAGTAAAAAGCATAAGATGATGCTCTAACTTCTGCAAAAGTGTTTTTAAACAGTAGAATTTATACTTCTACTTAAGTAATAAACAAATACAGGATTATATCCCCCAAGAGCAGGTGAAGGTTCTTAGTCATCCAGGTCATTCAAAAAAAAAAAAAAAAATATATAAAAAAAAAATCCACTAGACTTGGTTTCCAAGTTTAAAGACATTTTTTCTTCCCATCCAGAAAACTTTTTCAATTCAAAATGTCAGGAATAGCGTTGAGTTCAAGGTTTTATACAGTAGCCCAACAAAGCCTTGTTTATGTGTTGAAAACATCAACCAAGAGCAACTGCAGCATTAGCATCATGTCACCTTTGGTGATTAGGCTCCCCTATGGGCAGGAGCAGAATCAGAGACCTCCTGAGACTGAAAACCAGTTTTGCAGCTTAACCATTAGCTTTCCATTAACTTCCATTAATTTCCCCTTCAATTATATGGCCTAAACCAGCCCATTCTCTAACTAACACATGTCTGTCTAACCCTGTCACTATGCTACTAAAAGTGAAATACCAATTTGGGCGTGATTTTGATGAGGGGATTCCAATACGTCAAAATTAAAAGCTCTAAAAGATGAAATTTACATGATATATGTCCTTTATTCAACCCACTGGTGGCATGCATGCTTCCCATTTTCTTACCAAATTAGTCAATTCTTTCAGGGAACCATGGAGTATTTGATCTAAAGTATCAAAAATTTATTATCTGGATTCAAAGTGATTTTAAATATTAAGACAAATTTCCATGACCGAAGACAAATATTTGCAAAAATAAAATGTATTCTCTGAATGGTAAAGTCAGAAATTTGGAATAAATGTTTTAAATATGTGTTTCAAATTAGATTTTTTACACTTCTTGTGACATAAGTTTTAGGTCACAATGTAGCTGTAGAAAACTGAAATATCTACTCAATTTATTAGGATTGTGCTTAATTCAAAATTGCTTTGAACAAGAATATCCTTATATTTGTTTCTAAAACCTCATCATACCAGAGAGCTGAGACGCAATAAATACGTTCTGGGACATTGACAGATAGGATGTTGCTTTTTTTGTTTATTTCAGCAATATATTTGGAGGTGATGAAGAGGTTTGGTGCCTTTTTTATGTGATTTATTTATTTTTTTCTTCCTTTCTCTCTATGATTTAGAAAATTGCTTCCCTTCTCTCTTTTTGTATTTTTGTTTCTTTAAACTTCATAAAGTTTCCCACCAAACTTTCTCCTCCCTGCCTTAATGTCTGTTTTTAGAGGCCATTTCTAAAGCTCCCTCTGGATAAGTCAAAATAAGGCATGACAAAAATAACTTTCACAAGAACAGCCGCTTTTCCTTTAATTTTTTAGAGCATGAGTTTAGCTTTTAATAATGCAAACAAAGCCCATACGGTTCGCATCAAAATGTTCTGATTGTATTTTGAGCATCAAGAAGCTTTTTGATCTTTAATTCTATAAAAGGCTGTCGAGGGAATAAAAGGTATAACTACATCATTCATATCTTCTCTTGCTGTTTTTTTATGTTTTGCTGATAAATACTGTTTAGAATAAATCGTAAAATTGTCATTTTCAGCATTTAGTAAACCTTTATAGCTCTTCAACTATTTCAACTTAGCGGTTTATTTTTAAGTATTAATTTAGGAAATGTGGCTTACCTCTTTAATAAAAAAAAAAATAGAATTTAAAGAAGGACGTTACAAAATCAACATTAATTTATTTTCTTTTAGTAATTTAAGAAATATAAAAGAGGAATGTTCTCATTTGTTATGAATTCATTACAAGCGTTAATAGTTGATACATTAAAGGTTTGATGAGCTTTGTAGCATCTAGAAATGGTACAGAGGGAGAAACTTCACTTGAGGCGGACCACCATGATCTTCCTTAACATCTCTGCAGTGTTTCTCTTATTATTTCCATAGATCAGTAGGGGTACGGTGACGGTGTTGCCTCAGAAATAAATCGACAAGCATATACTGTAACTATCTTAAATGTTGAGAACTAACCAGAGGCCAACAAAGCCATGACATTGCTACATAATTATAGTAGTAGTCATAGTAGTCTTACTGTATTAGAGTATAGCTTCATAAAAAGTATCTCCAATTAAAATAAACACACAAAAAAAACATGGTTTGTGTTGCATGAAGGTCAATACATGGAATATGTTTCCATCAAGTGGTGAAAACAGAAAACTGCACTGTGGTTAAAATTGGTGCTTAACAAAAAGAATCCATAGAAGCTGTTTGCAACTTTCCTGAATGTTCTCTTTGACAAACTGAAGAAACGGATCCGTTGACAGAAGTGCAGCAGACAGTGTAATAGAAAACACCAGAGTTGGTCTGTCATCCCTATTAAAAGGTCTGGGTTCTGTTCAGTCCTATCTCTCCTCTGTTAGCTGGTTTGTTCTTCAGGGTTTTGCTTAGTTTAGCTTCAGCTTTATATCCCACATATTCACCCATTCACAGTGACTGATTTTACTGACTCCATTAACTAGACAAGTGTTTTCATTTTCCTTTAATAATGATAAAACAAATGTTTTTTTTGTTGTTGTTGTCCTTTACGTCTTTTTTTGTCTTTTCAGAGCTAGATTGTAACAATGATGAAATTAAATATGTTTTTTAATCGTTTAACTTTACGTTACGGGTTGATGCAGGGACCACGACACACATACACACACGTGTCTCCTGTGGCACAGTGACACGTCGTCTAAAACTGCTGATTGTCCAGTTTCTGAGGAACACCTGGCTGATTCCCACTGGGCTACCAATCACAACCCGTCCATGCTGCTGCTGTTTCTGCATCTGCCGTGTTGCAACCGAAGGAAAAGCCCACAGTGTGTCCCGGGCTTTCCTTTCTCGGCCTTCTCTTCATCTTCCTCCCTGTGATTGAAAATTGGTCAAAAAATGCTGGTCAATTTGTTTCTGACCCTTCTGGTGTCCTCTGCCATTGCCACAGACAAAGGTAAATTCCTTTACAAAATGTCATTTTTTTCAGTTAATCAACTTTGGTTAACACACTAGTTTTGTGGTATGTACGGTATATATAAATATATATATATACTTAACGAAAGTCTATACTTAACGAAGAGTATATATATATATATATATATATATATATATATATATATATATACACACACGTTAGCTGAAGGCTAACGTTAATATCTGTAATATCTGTTTGGAAACTTCTTATTTTTTCACAGTTTCAGCTTATTTTGTGTGGAGAAAAATGGCAGAAAAAAGTCTGTTCTGCTTGAAAAACATAGCGGTTTGCTTTAGGCATCTTTACTTTAAGTCAGTGGGACTACTTTACCTAATTAGCGCTAACAGAATAGAATAGAAGAGCAATAGAAAATCCTTTTATTGTCCCACAATGGGGAAAATGTTGTGTTACAGCTGAATTATAGCAAAGCCACTGATATTTTGCAGGTTGTTAATGTTGTGAATCATGTGTCTTTGTTTACAGAAAGTAGTCTACTGAGACTTGATGATACAAAATCTGTAAAGGCCTTCATCGATTCTGCTGAGGTGGTGGTCATTGGATTCCTGGAGGTCAGAGGAGTTAATGTCTTTAGAACCCACCTAATCTGTTGCTGTTTTTATACACATATTTTTACATTTCAGTTAAATCTTACTGAGTTGCATATCTTATTGATCTAAATATAATGCTTCCATGAACTGCCCAGTATTTTTTCTTGCTATAAACTTCCCTTTTACTGTTAAAACCATTAAATTTCTATGCTATTCTACTGATTTGCTTTTATTCTCTAATTATTTTGTGTTGCCTCTATGCCACTGCAATGCACTTTTTTATTTTTTTTCCTCATTAGAGCACTTTGAATTGTCTTGCCCACAAAATGTGCCATATACATTTTCAGTTAAAATCTGCATAATTAGATCCAGCTAGTCTTCAAGTTGTGAAACGTTGGTTGAGGAACATTATTGATCAAAGAGCATCACGAGGACTAAGGGACTGCAGAAGGATTAGGGAGATAGCTGTAGAGAAGATGAGACCAGAGAAAGGTTTTAAACCAATGAGCTGAATGATCTAGTAGAGTAATCTGTGTAGGGGATACAAGGGATAGGGACAAAGATTATCTTATCAGATTACACTGAAATAAACTTTTTGGTTAAAGTGCAAATTATATGTAGAAGGACGCTAATGCTGCACATTACTCTGTACACACAACTGCTCCTGTGAACCATGGTGATGGTAGTATCATGCTTTGGGATTACCTTATATGTCCTGCCAATCAAGAGATAAAACCTTTTACCTGTTAGATAACAAAAGATAACCAGAGCTACAGTTAAATGGTTTAGGTCAAAATGTATAGATGTGGTAGATTAGCCCCAAATTAAGGCAGAACACAGCTATGAACCTGTTGCTATATTTAAAGAGTTCATGTACATATACTCTTCATCTAGTCTGACTTAGGCTGACCTAAGTAACATGGAAGAGTGGAAAAAAAATATGGTCTTCATGTTTTTTAACAGTGTCCTGTCTGGCAATGTGGCAATAAGAATAATAGTCTTGATGCCAAAAAGAGCCCAACAGATTTTACTTTCACAATAGGAGCAGTACGGCTATCGCCATAGTGTTCCTCTTGATTTGTGCATATAAATCGCTTTATTATAATTATGCAGTGAGTTTTACAGATTATATGGACACTGCAATGTAATTAGAACAGGAAAGGAAAAACAGAAAAAAAGGAGAAAAGATGAAAGAAAGAGGAGATAAAAGGGAGACAATGACAAAAGTCTTCTGTCTGCTTCATCACCTGCAAAGAGATGTAAAAAGAACAGCACAACCAACAGACATGGTACAAGACATTCAATAAAATAACACCTAGATACTATTGCTGAAGTATAAGTAGTATATTTAATCTGACATGTATACTGTGGTCGCTGAAGGTAAGAATATGGGCTTTCTGTATGGAAGTGAATCTCTGAGTACCTGGAGGCAAGCAACTGTAGTTGTTTGTGAGAGTGCACTTGTGCAAATAAAGTTTATCCAAAGGAAGGGCAGGGCCCACGAGCCAGCAACCCCCCCCCACGCCGCCAACACCCCCCATCCTGTCCGTCCAAAAAAAGAAAAAAAAAAAAAAAAAAAAAAAAGAGGGGAGCAAACCCTGACCTGCCAAACCCATACGTACCATGCAGAACCCCCTCCCCGGACGAAGCCTGTTCCAGAGGCTGTCATGGACCAGAACTGAGACAGGGAGCCAGACCCGAAGCCCTTCTAACATCCACACCCCACCCTCGCCACACTCCACCCCCCACACTACACTAAGTGATGGATCAATCAAGGGAGCGCAGAGAGATCTGTCTGATGGGGATACAGATACTGTCTCAAGATGAAAATGATCCAACAACAGATCTCTCTACTGATTGATGCTGAGTTTTTCCTTACTTTTCCAAGGAGGATAGTTTTCTTTGCGATACATAATGCAGTGACAATTTTTTTTTTCCCAGAGAGCTTCTCACAAAGCCACCCAGCAAGCAAACTGATGGGGAAGGTGACATTTTACAACCCAGGCACAGTTTATGTAAATCTCTGAAAGGCTGCAGTTGCAGCAAGGGGTGGTTTTCCAAATCATCGACTCAAAAACCTGAAAAACAAATGCTTGCTTTACAGGTTGTACATGTGTCATTTCCTTTTGAATTGACATTTTGCTCTATTTTTGTTAGTTTTTTGCATAAATGCATACATTAAAGATGTAATAAAAGTTTTGCATGACGGCTCCGAAACAAAGTCATAATATAAAAACAATCTCATGTTGGCATGAACACAGCGAGACCTGGTTAAACAAAATAGAAAAGAGCAGGATTTCCATCCATCTATTTTCTCCCACTTATTCCATCAGGGTTGCAGTGGGGCCGGTACCTATCTCCAGCAGTCTATGGGCGAGAGGCGGGGTACACCGGGACAGTTAGAGACACACAGAGACATGCAACCATGCGCATACACACACACACACACACACACACACACACACACACACACACACACACACACACACACACACACCTAATGACAATAAGAGATGCCACTCACCTAACAGTCATGCTTTTGGACTGTGGGAGGAAGCTGGGGTACCCGGAGAGAACCCACACATGCATAAGGAGAAAATGCAGACTCCAAGCAGAAAGACCTCGGGCCAGGAATCGAACCCGGAACTTTCTTGCTGCAGGGTAACAGTGCAACAAACTGTGTCACCTTTCAGCCCAGAGGAGGACTTCAAGTTCCCAAAAGCAGTTATTTCCAATCTAATAGTTAGGGGTTGGATCACAAATAGATTTTGAAGAATGATAAACTTCCTGTCACCAAACCTTTGGCAGGAAATAGACAGTCGCCTTCTGTTCCAGCTTCTTTGATCAGACTCTGCATTCAGGGAAAGATGGCAGGCATAACAGGAAATAAATGCTAAGGCTTGTGGGATTGGCTCTGTAGACTTTCATCTCCACAACTGCAATGTGTAGGGAGGAGGCTCACAAGGAGGAGCGCGGGGGAGCGGGAGCATATGAGGATAGAACAGAGCTGGATGCTAGAGGCAACTTAAGACCAAAATATTGGAGCAGTGACTCACAGAGAATGATCACACGGAGGCTTCAAAATGAAAAATCAGATTGCCAAAGCTCATAAAAAGTGTCTCAAAAATAGAGATGATTCACTGCTCTTTGAGCTTCCTCCATTTTTGTCTTTTACTTTTCAATTTCTTTTCTCACCAACAGTCCCGAGTGTTTCCTGCAACCGCAGACAGTCTCGCTCAGGTTACATAAGGTTTATGGCAGATTGATTACAATTTCATGGAAGGCAAGCAGTAGTGGAATGAGTCGACGTTTTGAGCTGATGAATATAGATAGTGATATGAAACACTTGAAACTATCTTGCTCTGTCTTTCAGAACGAGGAGAATCGGGGCTATAAGGAACTTGTTGCAGCTTCACAGAAAGTCAGCTCTGTCCCTTCAGCTGTTTGCATGGAGAAGGAAGTGTGGGCTGACTTCAAAATTGAATCAGACACCATCATTCTCTTCAGAAAAGTACTTTATATCATTAATGGGTTTTATACATGTTCCTAATAAGGTTATGGTGATAAAATATGTGCTGTGATGCAGGCAGATAACAGTAAGGAGGAACTGGTTATTGCCAAGGCCAAGAAGTTGGATACTGATGGACTTGTGAATTTCATCTCCGTCAACGAGCTCAGATACATCACAGAATACAACCAGGTGGTAAGTACGGTTCTTTCAATACAGAAACATAACACTCAGCACTAATACAGCATATCTTGATAAAAATCAGAAAAATATACCAAATAAAGTTCAAACAATATGTAGAACACAGTTTTGCCTTTTCCCCCCAAAATGATGCCCCATATTTCCTAATGTATTCTGAAATGAAAGCATTGAACAAAAGATCAAGTAAAGGAAAAAAAACTTCAACATTTCATCCATTCCGTGGAACATTTTCTTTCTACTTCAGCAACATACATTGCTTTCAGTTGGTTGACTACCTAAATCCCTGAAAATAGTATGTTTGCCATGTTTGCAGTTTTGTGATGTTCTGTTTCCTCTCTTTTTGTCGTCCCAGACAGCCGTGGGCCTGTTCAATTCAGAGGTGAAGGCACACCTCGTCCTCTTTGCCAACAGGGGGAGTAAAGACTTCACAGAGCTCAAGGAGCGACTGGAGGCGCTGGCCCCTGAGTTCACTGGCAAGGTGATCGTAATATAGACTCTAGAGAAAAAGATATTCAGACCATCTGCACATTGTAGATGTTCAATACTTTCCAGCTCAATTATTTGGCTAAATTATGTAAAATCAAACCTCCAGTAGATTTCATTGACATTCTGTCCTCGACAAAAGAGGAGATCCAATTTGTGATGTCATAATGTCCTTAAAAACCTGCATTTCAGCTATTATTTGTGCTCATCAATGGAGGCGTAAAGGCCAATTACAAGTCTCTCAACTACTTTGGGCTGAAGTCATCGGACCTGCCTCGAGTTGGGTTATATGATGGGGATTCAGACATGAAGTGGCTCCTACCTGAGGGGGAAATTTCCACAGAGCGTGTGCGGGACTTCTGCCACTCATTTCTAAAGGGAGAACTGAAGGTGGGCCCTCATCAGAAGCTGGACCCTAAATCTTGTTGTAATATTTTTTTATCAGCCTGTTACAACTGTGATAATACAATAGAAATTTATATCACTCATAAAAAAACTCACACAAGGGAGAAAAATTAATGAGCAGAAGAAAGGTACAGTATTAACTGCTTCTACCTTTTAAACATCCAAAAGCTGTGCAAAGGATTATTAGCAAAACAGTTCAATTTCCTTTTTTTTCTTTAATAGCTCAATTTCTCACCAAATGATATATAAAGACATCTGACAAGACAAAGACAATTCTTATCAAATTGTATGGAATCAAATTCTGTGCAATTGCAGCTGATCAACCAGACCTAATTCATTACACCAATATATAATCATACATTCATTTTTCTATCCACATGCAGAGGCGGGTAGCGTACCCAAAAAAATGTACTCAAGTAAACTGGATAAGTAGTTACCAGAGAGACAGACAACAATTTGTGAAGATGGGAGATTATGGGTCTGAATGTTTGGGCATTGCTTGTGGTGTCCCCCAGGGGTCAGTGTTGGGACCAAAGTTATTTTTATAATATATCTATGATATTTGTAAAGTATCTCAAGTATTGAATTTTGTATTATTTGCAGATGATATAAACATATTTGGATCAGGGGACAGCTTACAGCAACTCTTGAAATGAATCACTTCAGAATTAAAGAAAATAAAACAATGGTTTGACATAAACAGGTTATTAATAAATTTGAGTAAAACTACATTCATGGTATTCTGAAACTGTAAGTCTAAGCATCAAGCACAAATACAGATAGAGGGGGTTAACATAGAAAGAGTACATGAAAATAAATTCCTTGGAGTGATCATAGATGACAGGATTTGCTGGAAGCCTCATATAAAACACATCAAAACCAAACTGTCCAGAAGTATTTTAGTCCTAGCAAGAGCTAAGTACATTCTGGATTCCAAAGCACTTCACATCCTATACTGCTCACTACTGTTACCTTATTTGAATTACTGTGTAGAGGTGTGGGGAAACACTTATCAACACTCACTACAGCCACTAGTCATAATGCAACAAAGAGCAATAAGAATCATTCACAACGCCGCACTTCGGGATCATACAAACGCATTATTTCTAAAATCTAAATTGCTAGAATACCAGGATTTAATAGAATACCCAATTGCGGTATTCATGTTCAAAGTAAGACATAGCCTAATGCCTGGGAATATCCAAAAGATGCTCTCTGAAAGGGAGGGAGGGTACGATTTAAGGGGAAGGGGAAATTTTAAGACTAATAGATGTAGAACAACAAGAAAAAGATTATGTTTAGCAATTTGTGGAGTTAAATTGTGGAACAAACTAAATGAGAACCTAAAGAAATGCCCAAACATATTCCTTTTCAAAAAAGGAATTATTTTCAAAAGGTATAGAGAAGCATTGTAGAAAGTTTTGTTTGTGTTTTTTGTTTTGTTAATTTGTATATATGTATGACGGTATATGTGTATACATATTTATGTA